GAAGATTTCAAAGTTACGGAGGGAGTACAAAAATAGGAGGTGTCATATTTTAAATAGGAGTAATTTTTAATGTTTGGACAAATATACTACCCCACTCTGTGGGGTTTACTCCAGGAAAAAATGTTCAATATTACAAAAGAACAACATAATCATTCGTGAGTTGTAAATAACTAAATATGGAGTTGATCGAGTTCTAGAGCTAAGCTATTTCGAAATCAAATGTTAGGCATAAGGCCGCATCAAACCCTTTCGCGTGATATAAATGTGGCATTTAAATAATGTGATTTAAAAATTGTGTCAAATCGCCTTATGTTATAACTTATAAGTATTCGTGCATTAAATTCATGCAATAATGAATTTAATTGTCAAATAAATGAAAAATGATTAATTGATTAGTACTTTTGCTTAATGTAAAAATCTTGACAAATTTACTTACATATTCAATCATAATATTAATACAAGTGATTTTCAATTTGTTAAATTTGTTTTTGACTAAAGGGTCAAATACGCCCATGTATCTGTTCGTGATGCTCAATTCGCTCTCTGAACCGAAAAACACTCTGATTGACACACTAAACTGGATAAAAAGTTTCAAATTTGACTATTTACAGAAAACCATTTGATCAGTTTGACCAAATTGCTCAGCTCACTCTCTCAACCATTAAAAAGTGTCAAAATTTTAAAAAAAATAAAAAATAAAAAATAGATAATACAACTATAAAATCAAGAACAAGCCGAAAATATAAAATATATATGAAATATTTATCATTTTAAGGTAAATTCATAATAGAAAATAATATATAAACTTAAAGAAATACTTTAACTTTATTTCCATATTTTATATCTTTTTTTATAAAAGAAAATAAACATTACTATATTTAAATTTGTATTTTATGTAATATATCTCATATTTTGTAATAGGGAAAACTGTCAAATAAGCCCCCATACTATACCGAATAAGTCGATTAGACCCTCGTACATTACAAACACTCAATTAAGTTCTCGAACTATTAAAAACGTTCAATTAAGCCCTTTTGGTCGGTAATTAACAGGTTTCCCGGTTAAATGTAACCCGTTTCTCGGCAGCTGCCGTTGCTGGGGTTCGAGCACATCGTCGCCGTTTAACCGGGAAACCGGTTACTTACCAACCAAAAGAGCTTAATTGAACATTTTTTAATAGTTTGGGGACTTAATTGAGTGTTTGTAAAGTAAGAGGGTCTAATCAACTTTTTCGGAATAGTACGGGACTTATTTGACAATTTTCCCTTTGTAATTTAAACATATGTTTAGATTATGATGAACTTGTGGTTCAAGAGGCTGAATATGATGAATTATAAAAAAAAAGAAAATTAAAAATGTATTTCATGAATAAAATAATGAAAAAGTAAAATCTGATCTTACTTGTTTTGATTATTGCACCATTCAACTCGGGAAATAAAAAATTATGTCTTCAATGAAAACTGAGTTTTAAACCGAAAATCAGAGTTAGCTGTCCTCTTAACTTTCTCAAGGAATTAAAGACAAGGTGAAAAATAGATAAGAGCAAAGAGAAAACAATGGATTACTTACTTTTAGTTGGTTAATTACAATTACAATAGGATCGATGTTCAGCGCGCTCACAATTTAGAAGGTAGCAGACGAAGGAGATGTCCAAAGGGATGGCACTGATAGGCAATATTGGTGTGGTAGCATTTCAATTCGCTCTCCGGTTTATGCGGATCAATGCGATCCCTTTGGGCGTCTACTTCCTTCGCTATGGGAACCTACGAATTCAACCTCAATTCATTCATCATATTCATGTACGCAGGACGTGGTGTGGGGTGGGGTGGGGTGGGGCAGGGGCAGGGTGAGAGACATAAAAAAGTGGTGAATGGCTGACCATAAATTAAGGATATATGTATGCACTACGAACAATTAAAATGTAGACTGATTTACAAAATCTTGGTGGTAGTTGTGTGTTTAATAGATGTCTCTGGTGTTCCTTTTATAGTGTTTGAGATCAACTGTAGCAGATCATTAGGGGCACTTTTTCAAAGTTTGATTTAGAGCTCATTCGGTAGCCTAGTTTTTTAGCTCATCAGTCAACATTTTCTGTAATTTTTTATTTTGCGCACTGAATTGCATAATACTCACTTCGTCCCTAATAACTTTGCCAAGTTTGACCAGCACAAGGATTAATAAATTAAAAATTGTGTGGCTGAGGACTGAGGTTTGTGGAGAGAAAAGAGAATTAACTGGAAACACAAATTCTTTACTTAAAAGGAAAAGTGGCAAAGTTAATGGGACATCCAAAAAAGGAAAGTTGGCAAAGTTATAAGTGACGGAGGGAGTAACAAGAAAAAGTAAGGTTCGAGTAACTTTTGTGGTTGTATTGGCTGAAGCTATTGTAGAAGACCATTTTAGCTATTTTTACATATAATTTTTTCTTTAATTGATTAATAAAATATATTTTAAGTATAATTTTCTAATAAATTAGCAAAATCAGCTATTTCAGCTATATTTTCATAAATTTCAACAGAATCGACCGATAAATCCGATTTTGATATTAACAAACGGGCTTTTAGAGCATCTCCAATGCTAAAACGTTAACGGTGCATACGTGGCATGAGAAATAACCAATTAAAAAACAATAAATCCAATATTTCTCTCCTTCTTTCCACAGTCTTATCTGTTTATGATAAGTTTTTGTCTGCAATGTCAATCACAATGTCTACATCTTGACATTATGCTTGACATTGTGAAGAAAAACTTACCAAAATGATGTAAGATCCTTCAAATAAGGAGAGAGATATTATATTTATTGTTTTTAATTGGTTATTTTCCATACCACGTATGTACCCTTAACGTTTTAGCATTAGAGATGCTCTTTGAATATTTGCTATATATGTGAATAAACATTACTCCCATTTGGTATCCCCTTCTTTTATTAATTAATACTCCGAATATGTTATTGTTCCTTAGTTTCCTTACATAATCGGATAAATTCATTGGTAAATTCATTGCTAGCGGGTCAGTCCGGTGGAAATGATGGCGACAATTGCCAACGGCGGCAGGCTATTGGTGGATAAATTCTAGTGATTGTTTGTGGCGTCGGAATCCAACTGAAAGGGGTACTCTTTTTTCCCCAAAAAAAACTCCTATTTGAAATTTTACCATTTATTTCTATTTTTATCTTTTCCCCAAGTTTTACTCCAAGAATTCTGTCTTTCTTTACATCTTTTGTTTTTTACTCAGTATTATTTTCTCTGTTTGTTGCATGCTGTGGTTGGTAAATTGGTGGATCCCATGCCATAAACGATCAAATTCATGGAAGGAGGTTTTACCCTGCTCTCATGGGTAAGCCACCCAGTTTTGGAAATTTCAAACAAGTTGTTCGAAGCAGGTAAAAGAAAACGATGGGGATAATAATTAATGCTATGAGCCTATATAGATTGGTGAAACTGTAAAAGGGTTATGAAACAAATGAAGAATGGTAAAATTGGTTGATCATCATAGTACCATAAGGGTGCTATTTCAGTATTTCACCATCACTTATTCACTTATATTGACTTATACGGAGCACGGAGTAAGTTAATATGGAATAGGAATTAGGAAGTACTTCGTATATAATGTGTCCCTTTGGTAGTCATGATTTTTGACTTTTATGCCTTATAAGTCAATTTTTTCATAAAACATGTAACTTTTAGTTTTATACGATGAATTGTGTATAATAAGAAAAAGTAAGGTTGAGATAACTTTTCTGGCTGTATTGGTTAAAGTTACTGTAGAGGGTCATTTTAGCTATTTTTCATATATATTTTTTATTTTGTTAATAAAATGTATTTTAAATTACTCCGTATTATTTTTCACAATCAGCAGAATGAGCAAATACAGCATATTTGGCTATTACCAAACGGGCTCAACAACGGTAGAAGTGAGAAACAACAAATACCTACTCCGTATATTCTTGAATCATACTCTTCTTATACTCCGTATCAAATCTACTTATTTCGATATTACAAACAATGTTATCATTACCGTCTTACCGACTTACCATAAGTAATAAATATGTGATTAAAGTTATTTGTTGTTAGCTTTACAAACTTTTACCACATACGTAGTAATTTTTATTTTATTATTTTGGATGTAAGACAAACTTGGCTAGTTACGTTGCTTAATTTATTGATAGATATTTAGAGGCCGTTTGACAACACTGTTTTTTGGCTTATCAGACTTATCAGTCAACTTTTTCACCAAACACGTAACTTTTGCTTTCGCGCACTGAATTGTGTAATAAGCAGTAAAAGTAAGGTTGTAGTTACTTTTCTGACTGCATTAGCTGAAGTTACTGTAGATGACCATTTTAGATATTTTGACATATAAATTTTTTTTTATTTTATTAATAAAATATATTTTAAAAATATTTTTTATTAAATTAGCAGAATCAGCCAATGCAACCACTTCAGCCAAAACTTCATAAATTTCAGCAGAATCAGGCAAATCAACCGATTTTCGTGCTACCAAACGGGCTCTTAGTATAGTCATTAAACTTAACGTCACATTTTCATAAATAATTTTTGTGATAACAATAAAATCATTACCGGTACTTACATTCAGGTCTATTTTATAGAAAATAGAAGTAATTATTGAAAAGTATTGTCATTTATGGAATTACAGTTTTTTCTTAAAAAATGCAATTTTTTCTCAATACTTGACACTTTCTTATGTTTTTCTTGAAAATATAATTGCATCTAGCTACTTTGATTATAAAATGTTTGTTAAAAAATTATACTTAAGAATAACATGGTCGAACATAGCCCCTAATTCCACCAATAATTCGTTGACGACGCATCATATTTCGGTGAAGGGATGTGCAACAAACATGCAATACTGTATACTCCTAACTCCTAAGTGTTGAAATATATTGAATAGTCATCTTCCAACTATTCATGATCAGGAACACTTATCATCATTAATATAAATAAGAATTCATAATTATGATTTCTAGATGGTAATTGTATGGCTCACAATTAGCCCCTGATCTAGACATGATTACATTTTCTTCTATAAATAGGAGCATTCTCCTTCATTGTAAACACACCATTATCACACTTCTAATAACATCTTTCTCACTAAGTATTCAGACTATACTTTCTCTCCCTGATCTTCTGCTTATTTCCTTCCATATTATAACACGTTATCAGCACAAATTTGCTCCAAATCCGTGAAATCATCATCTTCCCAGCAGGTATATTTTTTCATGAATTTATCAGCTTATCTGAAAAAGAAAAATCAGAGGTTGAGATCAGAAGTACATAGCATAAACATGTTTATATATATTAAAACTATAAGAAGTATGCTCTATGGTTGCCCAACCATTGGGATCCTCCATATCAGAAAATTATAGCTATGTTTTCTATAAAAGAAGTTGAAGAAGATAGACTAAATACAAATCTGGAATTCTTATAAATATTCTATTCACGAAGTAGCAATTATATTATTATTAGACATATGATTTTACTTTTATTCAAGCTATAATACTACAGGAACATATATACATACCTTAAAATCAAAGTATTATCTCCACTTCATCCTCACAAGTACTTCGGTCATCTTCTAAAGAGGAGTACGTATACTGCTTATACTGCTCTTTATAAGAGTGAAAGAAAATATATACGGAGTAAATAGTATCATAGTAGAGGAGATATACGGAGTATGATTTTAAACCTAAAAACGAAAGAATTGATATATACCATATACGGAGTAAGTACTAGCCAGGCCATGACTTGCTTAAACTCAATAAATATATATATATACGAAGTAAGATCGAAGATCACGGGAATCAAATGAATATGGCCCTCTGTTACATGCAAGCCTGAAACATATCTGATAAATTATCTCTACACATTTAATTCAAAATCATAAACAAACAAACAAAAAAATGTGTCTGATAATAAAAGCATAAGTTTGTACGTAGCATTTACTCTTGGGAACATTGCATGTAGATAAAAAGACAAAATTCTGCCAAACTCACATGGTTAACAAAATATAATTTATTAGTCACATGGTCAATATATACTCCGTAATACACATGAATCATTCATACATTCACATCATGATATGTGTAACCAACCATTCTCCAGTATTACATTTACTACATGGTGTCATTTGATTATTTGGTAAGTAATTCATAACAAATATGAATAATAATGAGTTTGATATTATCGATTCCTAATTTCCTAATTATTTACGCATGTATCAAATAAAAAAAAATATGCTCCGTACGTATAAGGTTAATTAAAAAAAATGCCAAGTTTATTTCCAAAACCAAATTGACGGACTAGAAGCAATTGATGATTTCTTTGATTATAATTATACGATAGTATATATTACCTTATATATTTTCCTGATTAAATCAATACTTTTTGTAGTATTATGGCACATATTAGCAAAAGAGAGTTTGACGTCCTTGATTTATCTGGCCAAAAGTATTTGGAATGGAAAGTTGACGCTTTGGCACATTTGAAAGCAAATGCCCTTGAAAATACAATTGCTGAAAATAATTCAGCCACTCCCCAAAATAAGGCAAAAGCCATCATCTTTCTTCGTCATCATCTTCATGAAAGTTTGAAATCTGAGTATTTATTGGTAGATGACCCTAAAGAATTATGGGATAATCTCCAAGAAAGGTATGGCCATCAACAAAAGGTCCTTTTACCAAAAGCTCAATATGACTGGATCAATTTACGATTCCAGGATTACAAATCTGTAAGTGACTACAATTCTGCTTTGTTCCAAATAACATCAAAACTAAAGTTATGCGGACAAAAAGTCACTGATGCTGAAATGTTGGAGAAAACTTTGTCCACTATGCATGTTTCAAATGTGCTTTTACAAGAGCAATATAGACAAAAGCATTTTCAAAAGTATTCTGATTTGATATCAGTATTACTATTTGCTGAGACGAATACCGACATTTTGATGAGAAACCACAATATGAGACCCACGGGTTGTAGCCCGGTTAGTTTTGGTCCACCAAATCATGGTTCAAAACATGAATCAAATGCAACCCATAGTGGTGCTCGTGGACATTTCAAACGTGGTCGTGGTATTGGTCGTTATAATGGACCTAGCCGGGGAAACAGAGTAGTAGCTCATTTTACAAAGGCAAGGGTAAGCAAAACCGCCATCAAACAAAGAACCCGACGAAATCTTCAGAAAAGGCCAAAGTCACTTGCTTTAAGTGTGGCACGTCGGGACATTGGGCAAATAAGTGTCGTACACCTAGACACTTGATTGATTTATATAAATCATCTCTAAAAGGAAAGAATGTGGAAACTAATTACGTCAACGAAAATGATCCACCAATGCCCACATTCAATGTGTCTGATTTCTATATGGACAATAATGAGATGAACACCGACATCATTATGGGTGAAAAATAATAAATAAGTAAATAAAAAGGAATTAGAAATAATTCTGTTATGTAATATATTCTACAATAAAAGTTTGTTTGTATTGTAATTTTTATTTGGTGTGCTTATTTCGATTGTGAATGTTATGTACATTTTAATGAATAAAGCCTTGTTTATATTACAGTATTGAACTAATATTTGTTCATTTTTATCTTTTCGAAGATATGGAGTTAACTAAAATTTCTTCAAGTGGCTCTGAACAATGTCTAATAGACAGTGCCACAATGCACACCATTTTGAGACATAGAGATTATTTTTCTCATATGACATTAGTTGATGCTAATGTCAATACAATCTCAGGTGTTGCTAAACTCATTGAAGGTTCTGGAATAGCCTGTGTGATTCTCCCAAAAGGGACAAAATTAATAATTAAAGACGCTTTATACTCCAGTAAATCACGGAGAAATCTTTTGAGCTTTAAAGATTTGCGTCTAAATGCTTTTCATATTGAAACCATGTCTGAAAATCAGAAGGAATATTTATGTCTAACGACAAATAGATCTGGCAATAAATACGTTTCTGAAAAAATGCCAGCATATTCCTCGGGACTGTATTATACATATATCAGTCCAATTGAGATAAATGTGGTATCTAAAATTTATGACCACAATTCCTTTATCTTGTGGCATGACCGTTTAGGTCATCCAGGCAACACTATGATGCACAAAATTATTGAAAATTCACGTGGACATTCATTAACTAATGTCAAGATTCCACAATCAAGTGATTTTCCGTGCACTGCCTGTTCTCTTGGCAAATTAATTATCAGGCCATCTTTATACAAAATTGGAGTTGAATCTCCTGCATTTTTAGAAAGAATTCAAGGAGATATTTGTGGGCCAATTACCCCTCCGTGTGGACCGTTTCGATATTTTATGGTGCTCATTGATGCATCAACACGTTGGTCACATGTCAGTCTTTTATCGACTAGAAATTTTGCATTTGCAAATCTCCTTGCTCAAATTATTCGTTTGAGATCACAATTTCCGGATTATTCGATAAAGAAAATCCGACTTGATAATGCAGGAGAATTTACATCCCAATCTTTTAATGACTATTGCATGTCAATTGGGATTGATGTGGAACATCCAGTTCCACATGTACATACACAAAATGGTCTTGCCGAATCCTTAATTAAGCGATTACAATTAATTGCTAGACCATTATTGATGAAATCCAGATTACCATCATCTGCATGGGGATATGCTATAATGCATGCTGCAAATTTAATTCGGCTTAGGCCAACGGCATATCATAAATTTTCCCCATTACAATTAATATCTGGTAAAGAACCAAATATATCACACCTAAAAATATTTGGTTGTTCTGTGTATGTACCAATTGGTCCACCTTATCGTACTAAAATGGGTCCTCAAAGAAGGCTGGGAATTTATGTTGGTTTTAAATCACCCTCAATTATTAATTATCTAGAACCTATGACCGGTGACTTATTCACCGCGCGGTTCGATGACTGTCATTTTGATGAGACAGTATTCCCAGCCTTAGGGAGAGATATTCAAGAAATGGACCCACGTACGAAAGATATTACTTGGAATGCAACAAATTTATCTTTTCTTGATTCTCGCACGAATGCTTGTGAACAAGAAATTCAAAAGATTATTCATTTACAAAATGTTGCAAACCAATTGCCTGATGCTTTCACAGACTCAAAGAAAGTGACAAAGTCACATGTTCCAGCTATGAATGCTCCTTCTCGAATAGAAATTCCTGCGGAGATTAGCGAAAGAACACTTGCTAATGAATCTATGATACGTAAAAAACGTGGTAGACCACTTGGTTCAAGAGATTTGAAACCAAGAAAATTTAAACAACAAGTTGTAGTTTGTGATGCCAAAGAAGTTCAACCTTCTCAAGAAGAAAATGAACATTTTGAAAATATCGGCCTTGAAGATAACATCAATAATAATGATACCTCAAAAGAGGATCCAATCACCTTCGAAGAGGTAAATATTCCAGAAAAAGATAGAAACGTCGATAATTTTGAAATTTCAATTAATTACGTTTCTAATGGAATACAATGGAATAGAAATGATATTGATGTTAATGATATATTTTCATATGCCATCGCCACAGATATAATGAATGAACACGATGACAATGAGCCTAAATCTATTGACGAATGTCGTCGTAGAAATGATTGGCCAAAATGGAATGAAGCAATTCAGGTAGAATTAAAATCGCTAGAAAAGCATAATGTTTTTGGACCAATTGTCCATACGCCAAAAGGCGTAAAACCTGTCGGTTTTAAATGGGTTTTTGTGCGTAAACGCAACGAGAAAAATGAAATCGTTAGATACAAAGCCCGACTTGTTGCCCAAGGTTTTTCTCAAATGCCAGGAATCGATTATGATGAGACGTATTCTCCAGTAGTTGATGCTACAACTTTAAAATTTTTAATTGGCATGTCTGTTTTTGAAAGGCTGCAAATGCGCCTAATGGATGTGGTGACCGCATATTTATACGGTTCACTCGATACAGACATATATATGAGAATTCCTGGAGGCTTTAAAATACCTGATGCTTATAGCTCGAAATCTCGAGATTTATTTTCCATAAAATTGCAAAAGTCATTATATGGATTAAAACAATCTGGACGCATGTGGTATAACCGTCTCAGACTCTCAGTGAATATTTGATTAAAGAAGGGTATAAAAATGATCCCATTAGTCCATGTGTTTTCATTCAGCGATCCAAATCAGGATTCGCCATAATTGCAGTATATGTTGATGATTTGAATATAATCGGAACTCCTAATGAAATTGAAAATACTGCAAAATATCTCATGAAAGAATTTGAAATGAAAGACCTTGGGAGAACAAAATTTTTTCTCGGCATTCAAATTGAACATTTGAGAAATGGTATTTTCATCCACCAATCAAATTATACCGAGAAACTTTTGAAGCGATTTTACATGGATAAAGCACATCCGCTCAATTCTCCAATGGTGGTTCGATCTCTCAATGTGCATGATGATCCTTTCCGACCTTGTGAAGATGATGAAGAAATCCTTGGTCCCGAAATACCATATTTGAGTGCTATTGGAGCATTAATGTATTTGGCTAATAATACTCGACCAGATATTGCTTTTTCTGTAAATTTATTAGCCAGGTACAGTTCTTCCCCAACAAGAAGGCATTGGAATGGTGTCAAACATATATTCCGATATCTCAATGGTACAATCGATCTTGGATTGTATTTCAAGAATGGTGCAAATGCCACTTTAATTGGCTACGCGGATGCAGGATACTTGTCTGATCCACAAAAGGCAAAATCACAAACAGGATATTTATTCACCTATGGTGATACCGCTATATCATGGAGATCAATGAAGAAAACATTAACTGCAACATCATCAAATCATGCAGAATTAATTGCTCTTTATGAAGCAGGTCGTGAGTGTGTCTGGTTGAGATCAATGATCCAGCACATACAAAATGAATGCGGTATAAAATCTTTTACTTCTAATCCTACTGTGATTTATGAAGATAATACAGCATGTATAGCTCAGATCAAAGGAGGTTACATCAAAGGGGACAGAACAAAGCATATAGCACCAAAACTTTTCTCCACACATGATCTTGAGAATGACGGAACGGTTGATGTCAAACAAATCAAGTCATGCGACAACCCTGCTGATTTGCTCACAAAGTCATTGGCACCGAAGAAATTTGAAGAACTGGTCCATAAAATTGGAATGTATCGTCTTCGAGATATATGTTGAATTGAGGGGGAGTAATATAATGCACTGCACTCTTTTTCCCTTCGTCAGGTTTTTATCCCACTGGGTTTTTCTTGACAAAGATTTTTAACGAGACAGTACATTATAATACTATGAAACTAATACCCCAGAATAATTAGAAGATGACCATTCAAGGGGGAGTGTTGAAATATATTGAATAGTCATCTTCCAACTATTCATGATCAGGAACACTTATCATCATTGTTAATATAAATAAGAATTCATAATTATGATTTCTAGATGGTAATTGTATGGCTCACAATTAGCCCCTGATCTAGACATGATTACATTTTCTCCTATAAATAGGAGCATTCTCCTTCATTGTAAACACACCATTATCACACTTCTAATAACATCTTTCTCACTAAGTATTCAGACTATACTTTCTCTCCCTGATCTTCTGCTTATTTCCTTCCATATTATAACACTAAGTAATTAAGTCCTATCACAAGTTATTATGAGTATTTATGAAAATCGGGATGGAACACGATAGCCATGACTGTTTTCTACTCCTCCCATTTTTAGTTAGAGAAAATTTGATTTTGCGCTCCACTTTTTGGTGATATCGGATTTTGCATCCTATTTTGAAAAAATTTTGGTTTTGCGTTCCAACGAAACACACAACATTTTTGGGAAGAATGTATCTGAATTGGATGCAAAGTCAAAGGATGTTAAGTGAAAATGGGGTGCAAAGTCCAATATCATCCAAAAAGTGGAGCGCAAATTAATTAAAGTCAAAATCACCCTTGTAGTTATGACTATTTTCTACTCTTACTTTTGTTTTTTTTTGTATTGTCTTACTCCATTCGAGATATAACTCACCTAGTGAAAAGAAGATATAAAAAACTAAAGGAGATGATCCCTATTCAACTTCAGACAATTTGGATTAGAATTGAATTTCACTTTCTTTACATCCGTGTGTAATCAAAGTGAATTTATTGCGAGCCCGTTTGGTAGCATGAAATTCGGCTGTTTTGGCTGTTTCTGCTGAAATTTATGAAGTTCTGGCTGAAGTGGCTGTTTTGGCTGATTATGCTGATTCTAGAAAAAAATATTTTAAAAATATATTTTATTAATAAAATAAAGAAAAAATTACATGTAAAAATAGCTAAAATGGTCATCTACAGTAACTTCAGCCAATACAGCCAGAAAAGTAACTCCAACCTTACTTTTTCTGCTTATTACACAATTCAGCA